AATACAATACTCCATCAGAAATATTACATTTCCTTCAAGACAAACATTTGCTGTTTACAGCAGATCCATGTACACTTATTAAGAAAGGATTCTACACCCAGGCAGTGTTCAGATACATACTTTCCTCATATAACAACTTCCTTTGCTGACTGTACACAACCAAATATACTGCTTTTAGGATAAAAAGCAGAGATTTCCTACGCAATCTGAGCCTTCTCATGCTATCTGGGCATTGAAACAGGTTATAATGGCAACATTTGTTGATTCTCAAATGTATGAGAAATCCTAAAATCATTACATTAATTGCAGGAATTAGAAACCACTCAATTATACCAAATATCATCTTATTTTCCCTGGGAATATTATAGTGTAAACTTTTGGCTGGAATAATTTTTAACCAAATATGATAGGTCTTAGCTTTAATCTCGTCAAAAGACAATTGTCATTACTAACGCAAAACACACACCACAGATTTTTACCTTACAACTGTGAGACAGACCAAGCTAACTGCCTTTTAGAACTAGGCCCAAACAAGAATCTAAATATTATTTTATCCATAAAATTTCTGTTGCACTCTGAAATTATCTGTAATGCAAGGCAGACATACAACAATGAACCAAAGTAAGAAAAAAATAATGTAATTTGTTGCAGCTTGTTCATTTGTGAATGGCAATAAGAACAGTTGCGTATCCCGAAGTAATACGCATGTACTTATCCAGCTCAAGTTTATGAAGCACTTTAAAGATGATAAATCCTTGAAATGTGCAGCACTTGCTATAATGAAAGAAAACAGACACACATATAAAATAACACATTGCTGATTTCTTCTCTCACGATAAAATACAAATCATTACTGATTTATCATCAATATATCTCTATTTTTCTATTCAAACACAGTAACTAGGATCAAAGGCTTTTGAAACTATCAATATAGAGATAATTACTGAAGAATGAAATACTGATGATGTGAGATGTGCAATTTATAGAGTACTGCTAGATGAGAATACAGAAATAATATTTTCTTCTGTGTGGTTACAGAACTGGGTATTTCACAGTATTTTGAGTGTCATCTGTTCTGGAGTGCAGAAATGAGTAATAGCAACATCCTCAAACAGTCTGAAAAATGAGCATACTGTTTTTGAGAACAGCTGCCTGAACACACCTTAAGAACCCACCTACCATGTCCTATGCTTATCACAGTGTGACAGACACCAGGTTGACCCTAGCCCCACTCAATGGCAACACTTGGAAAAACTTTGCACTGTTACGGACTGGACACAAGAATGGTGCAGAAGCAGCACGATGAACAAGAGCTGTGATGGCATATGTCTGAGTGAAATACAAGTATTTCTGTTTACAGACCATGCTACCTTGCCATCAGATATCACATTTTGGCTTGAACAGAAACAAACGTAATTTAAATGTCAGAGGTTTTATAAAATCATCATGCACAACTCTCTTTGTACCAGGCTTCTGTGAGAAATGGGTCACTTATGTTCTCATACAAACCAGCACTTAAGGAAAAAAAAAAAAAAAACAAAAAAAAGAAAAATGTAAATACACACACAGAAAAGTTCTCATCCTTCTCTCCAAATGATTTATTGCTACCAGAGCTCTAATCTAATTTTAGGTGAGCTCATCTTTTTTTCTGCCCTGGAGCCATTTTAACTTAATATTGCTCTCCTTCCAGAGCCACGAGAGAGTACTGGCTCCCTTAGCCACCACAGATGCTATGCTGACATTTTACTTTAGCTGTTTACTGTAAAAGTCATCAATATCGCTCTGCTCCTGAAGAGACCTTTTCTAAGAAAAATGAAATTAAATTGCTGGCATTAGATCAAACTTTGACCTCTACAGCCCAAAGTGGGGAAAGCGAGGAAACTCCTTGCTGCTGCTCTGAAAGCTTCCAAAAGCTCCTCCAAGGAGGCAAACTTTTTTATTTTAATAAAACATTTTCTGAGCTGCCAGGCTCACATATATGCTTTCCTCCCTGTTCACACTGCCGTATGATCCAGCCGGCAGGTACAGGCAGACAGCCTGGGTGCCCATGGGCCTGCCTGCACTGCTGCTGTCCTCTCTCCAAAGCAGCAAGCGTTGCAAGGTCTTTGGGGAAACCATTTCAGAAATCATCTTTTCATCTGCCTCCTTCCCATCTGTTCCCCCTTCCCATCCTCAATATTCCTGACCCGCACTCTGTTTTGCCAGTGCCATACTCCTTCACATCTTCATTCTCCTGCCCCTAGTTATCTCCAGCTCCTGCAAAACCTCCTCACATGATGATTTGAAGCTCAGTCTGCCTGGGAAGGGAAACTGCACTCTGACACACTTGCTTGCTGATTGCTATTTTCCAGTCATGCACAAGTTTCAAAGTTTTTTTGGTGGTTTTGTTTTGTTTCGTTTTTTAAAAACCTGGTTTCTGAAGGAAAAACGAGTTTGATTACTCTGCCAGTTTTCCTCAAACAACCCTCTGAGTAATGTTTTGAGTTCATCATCTAATTTCTATCATGTTTGACAAAGAAATGAAATCTGCTAAGATATGACATTTCTAAAGTTTCATAAAAATCAGTGGCATGAAATGGAAGAGGCATGCCCCAGCTCACTTCCCCTACAGCCGAAAGGCTGCAGTACAAGCTAGCAGTTATTTGCTCTGTTTAAGTGCCACCAGACAATCTGCTGTGGTGATGCAACACCATCGCCTGCCCAGCAAGCAGCTACCGGGCATCGAAGAGGAGCCAAAAGCGATAAGGATTTTGCAGGTGGGCTGAGGCCACAGGGCACACAAGTAGCAAAATGTATGTGTGTATGGAGGCTGATGGTAAGAAAAGCAGATGCAGTGACACTGGGTGCGAAACCATCATTGCATTAGTTTGGTTTTTGGTGTCTCAGCACTTACAGTGAACCTCCCGCAACAAATCTGTAGCATAAATAATATGCTTTCCTACACTTCAATTTCTCTTTGATTTTAGTATAAATTATGTGATATTTTGGAAAGCTAGTTATTTTCCAAATACCAAGGGATGCAGTGAAACACAAATTCAAATGATCTTTATGCCATCTCCAAGAAAAGACCTGCAGGAAACAGTAAGCTGCTTCCTGGCACGCCTATCACACACTCGGACAACGACTATGGGAAAGGATGTATCGGAGCCCAAAGGGATGAACCAGCTTGAGGAATCTGTTCTCAGCCAAGTCTCAAGATCTGAGAACAGCTAAATGCTTAAAATCACCGCCACAGCAGGGAGTCTAAACTGTAGTCACAATGTTTTCATTTTTAAACAAGAGATAAGAATAATGTTTCCAACTGAGTAGGCAGCTGAAAGAGCGAATTGCAGGAAAAGACTGACGCACTAGAGATTTTACACAAACTCCTTGACTCATGTTTTCCAAACATGTAAGGAAAACGATGCAGTAAATACAGAGACAAAATTAGCATTTGGATCTCTGTATTATCTGTACTCAAACATAACAGCTCCTGTGCTAAAATATGTCTTTAAAACTCAGATTTCCTCAAGATCAAATAACTGGATCTTCTCCATAACATCACTCAAGTGCTTCAGACCATCTCTTGTGCATTTCATTTACCACAATTTCCACTATGCCAAGTATATAGCATTAAACTGACAAATACGGTTTTGTAACAACACAGTAAACCCTGATAATGTCATCTAAGATGATTTGCACTTAGGTTCAAAGACCCACTATATAGAGATAATAAATATGGTACCAGACTGTCAGGCAGCAGAAGCTAGAAGAGACAGGTGACCTTTGTGCAATATTTCACCCTCTTCTCTCTTAGGAATGTATAAACGTGAAGGTATGAAAGCAGACACAGTCAGCCGCTGCCAACACTGGCCAAAACACCACCAATTTTATTAGAACACAGAACAGCTTAAAAAAAAAAAAGTAATCAATTGCTTCATTATAACTGTGTTTCCTGTGTCTTTGTTTCCCAGACCGCCTGAGAGAGTGTGATCAAAATTGCTAGCAGTCACATTACAGGGACAGGTTGACAGGCTGGATGATCCCATAAGTCTTGTTTGCATTTCATGTCTGGGCTCTTGACTTGCATCTTAAAACATTTTCATATTAA